ATTTATAAATGTTGCACCAGCATCGAGAGTTTCATAGAAAGCAATACATCCGATTTTATCAATCAATCTTTGTTGTTCGATATCATAAGCACCAGCCATATGAAATAGCAAAACGCTCGTGATACAACAAGCAAATGAATTTTATTATAAAATATATCGGTGAAAAAACTATCTTTGCTATTACTTCATGAACGGCTAAGCTGTCTCTCTGTCATCACTTTCTAACATAACGAAAATGAAAAAATCTTTCAAATAACTGCTACGACGAGTATTAGATAACAGAATGTAAAAATATAGGCTTATTTTCTAAGGCCTAGTAATACTTTATACTCGTTAGAATAACCTTTTTTGCTTTTTCTGTGCAACTCTTCATTATCTATGGCTACAACTCGTCAAAATGAATTATAACGATTTTTGTGGAGAAAAGTTCATGGTATTTGTAAGTTTAAGGCATGAAACTTCCTCGAATTTTTGCTATTTAGTATTAGTAAATTCTATTTTACACAGGCTTTCATATAGTATAAAATCCATCATTTTTCTATTAGAACATATAGCGCCCCCCCCCCCCTTGAATAATATTATTTACCACCCGGAATTTATGAAATTTTTCGGTTTATATTGCTAGGAAAACTTAAAGCTTACTGAAGATGATTGGAGAACAATTTTGAAGAATGGTGGAGTGGCGGCTGTATTAAAAAAGAAGCAAGAAGTCGATGACCAATGGCAAAAACAGCCAGTTTTAATAGCAGTCGTCGGTCGAACAGGCGGTGGCAAATCAACGCTCATACGTCGTCTTCTTGATATGCAACCAGACGATGATGGCGAACCTCTAATTGGTAGTGGAAACGATTCTTGTACGTCAGAGTCTAAAGAGTATCCGAAATCAGGAACGGGTCTGGTGTATATTGACGTGCCAGGTGTTGGTAGTACGGAAAAAGATCATGCCTTCACAACTCCTGTAGAGCAAAAAAATTATAGTGCGCGTTTTAAGCTGCAAAATATTGATTATTTTCTGCTTGTCTTTGCGGATAAATTGCAGGATCATGAAGCACGATTGATTAGGTTTATTACAGATGAATTAAAGAAAAGCGTTAGCGTCATACAGACAAAAGTAGATGCAAAGCGTCGGGAACACGCAACTAGAAAGTTAGAGCAAAAATATGATTTAAAATATGTCAAAGACAAATTTAGAAGAGAAATTCAAGAAATTCTGGACACTGATCTCAAAAATATTTTTCTTCTCTCAAATGATGCTTGTTCGATTACACCAGATAATCCAAATTACTGGATATATGATCGATCACCGGATTATGAGTTTAATGATCTAATGGATCGGATACAAAAAGACATGCTAGGTAAAGGCGGATTGACTGCTGAAAAAGGAAAAGCATTTATACTCGCTACAGGTGCTGTCTGTGAGAGTGCTGTCCGAGCGAAAGCTAATGCTTTGCGCAATCAGTCATGGGGTTGGGGAACTCTTTCAGGAGTGATTGGCACAATACCTATACCCGGTGTCTCATTGACATGTGACGCGGCGATTGTTGTGAATGGGGCCACGAATTATTGTAACGCTTTTGGTCTGAGCCCACTGCGCTACATTGGTGAAGGAACTTCAACTGAAAAGATAAAAAGGCTAGGTAACACCATGATCGCATCTATGGGATCTCGTGCTGCAATCATTTTCGGATTGTTCGTTGGATTGAATACAGTCGAAGAAAATGTCAAAGTTGTACCTGTAATTGGTTCTGTTGCAGGTTCACTTATATCTTTCACAACAACATGCCAGATGTTGCGCTTACTAATTGACTTTTGTGAGGGTGAAGCTTTAGCGTTTCTGCAAAATCCACAAACCAACTCATCAAATTAATTTAAACTACATTATTTTTCATTGATCGAAATACTTTTGGTCTAAAGTTTCTTTCGACGAATGCATTGTATTTCATCGGTGAGAAAAACTAAGCTCCTGGAATATTATGAATTGTGGATAAATTGATGGAAGGCCTGTAACTTCTTTTAAAAGTTAACAGCGTAAACCTTTGAATGTAGAGTATAGACTGAGTGTAAATGTTTGTGTGGGTGTGGGTGTGGATGTGAATAAATACACGAAACGCGTCGGCGAAATAAATCT